AATTGAAAACTCATCCACTAAGTAAATACACCCACATCATACGCAAAATGGGCGGCTTGACTAAACTTGTGTTGCGAAAACCGCGAGAATGACATTTTTTCAAAAAATAAAAATAAAAAATCATAATTCAACACATATGCCAGAAATATATAATGTATGGTACGGTGTTCTGGTTGTAGGGTAAAAAATGAAATAACGAATTGTCTTTCGATAAGAAATTAAGAATCGATAAGCAAAAAATAATAATTTAACTTGGTTCTGATACCACATGTAAGCAATTTATTAACTCTAACACCAAGATCTTTAGAATTTATTATTTTCACATATAAATTTAATTAATCAAGAAACATACCTTGATCCACAACAATAATTGAAAATCTAAACCTCCAAAGAGAAACTTGTAAAATCAATAAATCGTTCTCACTCTTTACCTTTATGTAATTGACCGTCTTAATTTGATGGGTTTCATTCATTTTTTTAGGCAGAGAAAGACAGTTTCTTAGGTCATAAAAACTACATACTTTCCATCAAAGTGGATAGTTATAAAAAACTGTCACTCATGAAGGTGGATAGTTTTGATTTTTGAAAAAAAACCCGTCATTTTTCAATAGGTCAATAGGCAATAATAAACAACTTTAATTTATTTATTAATAATATTACTTGGACCACATTACGTCTTACAATTCACAAGTCATCAAATCGTGCCTCTGCTCCTCTCCGAGGTTGACTGGTACTTGGAATGTATGCATTAAATGCACAAGATCGGACACCTTCCAAATGCAAAAGGGCGGGGGAACTCGCGAATTGTGTTACACATCTTCAATTATTTTTGTATGATTTTTCTGAGCAGTCGAGACTCCATATTATATCCCCATGTGCGTGATTTTTTTGCTTTTTCTATTTTGGTTTTTCCCCACTAAAAGTCAAGATTATACTCCCTAGTCGAGATTTTTAGTTTTCTGATCCACAGATTAAGAAACCATTTTTGCTCTCTAATCAAGAAATGATTCTCTGAACTTGGTCTCCATGGAGGGTGTTCATATATTAATTTCAGCATACCAAAGGAATATATTGGACTTGGAGTCATCGATAACCGTCCCGTTTGGCCCTATTATTTGATGTTATAAATTTTGGAATAGTAATTTTTTGTAAAATGTATGATTAAAAAAAAAGAATTTTTTTTATTTATATGTAATATTATTTTATTGGAGGACATGTGATTAAAAAGGAAAAGAGAGAAAAATATATTATAAATTAATAGGGGCATAATCTTCAAATATTGTAACATGTAACAAAATATTTGAGATAATAAATCTACACAAATTGTTAGATTAAAAAACATAATAATAAAAACTGTACGTTAAGAAAGAATAAGAAATTTACATAAAGTTTAGGGATAATTGCAGCAAAAATCCAAACTTTTAAAACATTAGCAGACTTTCCCAAAATCTTTGATTTGTTGCAATCATCACCCCTTATCTTTTCAAACGTTGCACGTGAGGCTCTTCTGGACGGTTCCCATCCATTTCTCCGTCATTTGACTACTAAAATAAAAAAATTGACCCGTAGAGGACAAAATGGTAACTTACTATTTTTCCCATAAATAATTAAAAAGTGAAGCCCAAAATCCAAAACCAAAAATCTGCTACCGCCACATCCACCGCCAACGACCACCACAACCAACCACCATCATGAACACCGTTTCTTGATGCCTTCGTATTGACTTAGGCTCATTAAAAATGAACCAAAATTGCAGTTGGGAAGTGAATTTTGAAAATGGTTCAACACGAATGTGACTCCTATGATTTCTATTCCAATTTCAAGGCCCACTTTTCTGGTAATGTTCAATAATGGTGGACCCTGACCTCCTTAGCCTAGGGATGTTTTTTGGATTTTCTTTAGATCTGTAAATACTGAAGAAAATTATGAGAGGAGTAGCATTAGATTAATTGAAGCTATTGTTTTCGAGGTGAAAGATGGAAATCGGTGCCCACTTAGAGAAGAAAAATAAAGAATCAACAAGGAATTGTTGTTCACGATGGTGGTGGTTGGCCGTGGGCGTGGCGGTAGCAAATTTTTGGTTTTAGGTTGAGGGGTTGGGCGCTGGTGAGGGAGAAGGAGAAACATTTTCCTTCTTTCTTTTTTTTTGGCTTTGGGCATGAAACTTTTTAATTATTTTATGGGAAAAATAGTAAGTTACCATTTTATCCTCCCCTATTTTGGTAGAAAGTGATTAATTTTTTATTTTAGTAGTCAAATGACGGAGAAATGAATGGAACCGTCGGGTTCAAATGAGCACAAACCGAGCTCATGCACATACAAGCCGATTCGACCTATTGCCACCACCACCTTTTGCTAAAGTTAATGTAAGATGGCACTCCATGTCACAAACCATTAATATGTTTGAATCCTCTCGTCACTTACCATTACAAAAGACATTATCTACTCATCTCTTTTGTTTCTTTTGTCGTTTTTTCTATTTATTTAATAATAAGTAAATAAATAAATTCCTTTAATCTAAATTTTTTAATTAAAGATAATTTTTTAATATGAAAATTGAAGTAATTAAATCTTATGTGTCATAATCACAACATCGCCAGTGAAATTTCTACGAAGGATACTTTAAATAAAAGTAAGTATACGTGTAAGATTTCAATAAATTATAGTATTTTTAATGTACTCTATAATTTGCTATTTACGACCATCTTTAAGTGACTCTATTTTTAAAAAACATAATATACAATTTAGAAAGTATTCATAAGTCGAGAGAGAAAATTTTAAGTATTCCAACAAACTCTTCAAATTTAACATTTAATTTTACTACTTCAAAAAAATATTTTCTATTTTTTATTTTCACTAACTTTCCTCCAAATTATTATATTATTTTTCTCTATTAAAAATTGAAATACTTTGAATACATTTAATTATAGAGATAAGTTTGACTTTTCTAATTTAGAGAGTCGAACTCACTCTGTAAATTAAAATATTGATTTAAAAATCTCTTAAAATATAATTTTAAAGGTTGATTTTCTTACATAGAAAGTATCACATATTTAAATAATTTTTTAGAGATGCTCTTGTGACATGAAAATTGGAAGGCTTTGATTTATGTAGAATTAAGGATGGTGTAGTTTAAGTTCAAAATGTTAGTATATTGTGATAAAATTAACGAAATACGTGATTGAAAAGTTATGAATACCATAAAATATGTAGTTAAAACTAATTATTGATTTTGATGCGAGACTTTAATTTAGACCCTGTTTGTTTCGAATTAAAATCAGATTTTAATCCAAATCAAAGCCAAATAAGCAATATTAACCACATTTTTCATGGATCCTACAACTTTTCAACTGCACATTTTAAAAACTTCTATCACAATTAACTAAAAATCTAATTTTAATTTCAACCGAACACCCACTTAATTTTAATCCAAACCAATCAGGTACAATGTCTAATCAATATACTCTCAAGTTCAAAGATGTAGTCATTTCATTTTATAATTCAGCCCCCATTTGGTGCACATTTTTTGAAAAAGAATGCATTTTTACTGTTGATATGATGGGAAATATGTGGTTGAAAAAGAAGGAAAAGTTATTGATGTGATGAGAATTTTTATTTTATTGAAGAATGTGTAGTTAAAAATGAGTAAAGAATGAGAATCAAAAAAATAATGTAGTTCAAACAGTGCCTCAATAATGTTGTTGGGGGTGTTCGTTTTTTATTCTCAAATTTTACAGTAAATCAATTCTCATTTTCAAGTACATATTTTTCAATAAAATAATATTTTAAATCACATCAATAATTTTTTTCTTCTTTTTTCAACCACACATTTTTCATCATATCACTATTCAAAAATCAATTCTTTCAACAAAAATCCTTACCAAACAAGCTCTGAATGTCTTATATTTTTTAAATCTCATGTAAATACGTGAGTTTAACAAGTTGAACCCCTAGCAAATTCATCCCTCTCGGTTTATGGACAACTCAAGATCATATTGAGACCAACCATGAACCTAGCTGGACACATTTTTTCATAAGCCGGCTTGTGGGCTAGATTTGTTTATTTTGAATTTTTCAAAAAATAAAAAAATTTTTTTTAATGAAACATCTCATATCATGACTTGTGGATAACTCGACTCAACCCATAAAACCCACTAGCCAAAAGGACTGAAACAAGCTTAGTTTGTGGATACCAATAGAACTCAACTCATTAGAGTGAAGATAGATTGATTGCCACATCTACATCTAAACGTGCATTTATATAAATTTTCTATGAGAACATGTATGCATATTATGTCATTTTTGCAAGACTCGTTATTTAAATTTTTTTTTTTTCAAACTCATTTTTAATTGTGTATTTTTTGAGTAAAATAAATTTTCATGTAATCCAAGCTAGTGTTTGTCCCCTATTTTGGGGAAATTTTAAATTTTTGAATGGTTAGGAGAATGTGTGGTTGAAAAATAATGAAAATTTTTAGATTTGTGTGTAATTTAGGACCTGTTTGGTACGGCTCAAAATTCAATTAAAATTGAAAATACAGCCGTTAGTGGGTCCCACTCATCTAATAAAAGTCAACAATAACGGCTAGTTTTTCAATTTTAATCCGATTTTAATCTCTACCAAACATCCTCTTAATTTTATTTGGAGAATTGGGATTAGGGGGTGTTTGTTTGAGATTT